GCGTTTGGTAAATGCTTGTTGAGTGGATGGGTGCAGGGGCTTGCAGCGCAAGCTGTTTCTTCTCAGCCCAACTCCTGGGCTTGTTTGGTGAAGAGCCCGTGTGCTCCTTCCTCCCCTACAGAGGGGCCCTGGTGGTGCAGGGGGCGAAGCACCTCGCAATCCGCACTAGGACAGAGGTTGGAACCCACCGGGCTGCAAGGGGGAAGATGAGGCCGAGCACCCCTGGGAAGGCTGACATCCTCAGAAACCCTCGGGCAGTCCTAGGCCATCCCAGAGGGCAGCGGTTCTCAACCTGTGGGTCGAGACCCCTTTGGGAGGGGGCTCGAACGACCCTTTCACAGGGGTCGCCCGATTCTTAACTGCAGCAAAATGAGTTATGAAATAGCAATTAAAATAGTTTTATGGTTGGGGGGTCATCACAACATGAGGAACTGTATGAAAGGGTCGCGGCATTAGGAAGGTTGAGAACCGCTGCTATAGGATCACTCTGAGGTGAAATCAATTCCCTGGGAAATGCAGTTGGTTTATTTCTTCGGGCAACTGAAGGACTGGTATGCTGACCCCGTGTGCGCTTGGCTTGGGTTTTCCACCCTACCTCCAAGCACTAAGCCTGGTGGGAAAACGCCACCTCATCCCAGACCCCTGTCGCTGTCCCACCCCCACCCCCGCCCCCGCCCCCATAGAGAGCCGCACTCTCTTCACGTTCCACAGACGCACATTTATTCAGACAGACAAAGGGACAGGGATGAACCTTTGCCCACTGGGGACCCCCAGGTCTGGCCGTTCCAAAGAGCGTGATGGTGTCCAGTGTGTGGGTGGGTGTGGCCGCCGGCAGGGGGTCCCCTACCGGCCTCTGTCCCTCAGTCAGTTGTCCGGTCTCTCCTTCTCCAAGCCTATCCTGCCTCAAGACACGTGTTGGAGTGAGGGGTTTCTAACCAGCGTGGGGTGGGAGGTGTCCCTGGGGTGGGCCTGGCAGTGCAGGACACCTCCTTAGTGTCAGGGGGGGAGGGGACAGACAGGTGGGAGAGTGGAAAAGGGACCTTGCCTTCAATTCCCCTCCTCCATATTGCAAACCCGGAGGGAGCTCAAAGGGGTGGGGGTGGGGGTGGCGACCACTGTGAGGGTCAGGAAGCCAGGCCCCCCAACCCGCGCAGGTGGGCCTTGCTGTCCACCTCTTCCTCCTCCATCTCGAAGGCGGAGTGGTCTTGACTGTCGAAGCAGGAGGCGCTGAGAAATACGGGGGGCGCGGGTGGAGACCGGGCAGGGGTCCCCGGAGAGGGGGGTTCCTCCTTGATGTTGGAGACGGACAGCGGCAGCTCGGGTTCTTCCTGCTCTGCGCGCAGGGGCGGAGGGGGCTGTGGCGCCTGGGCCTGGAGCGCCTGTAGGGCGGCGGCGCGCTCCAGCTCGGCCCGGTGGCACCGCTGGTGGCGCAGGAGGCTGTAGGCGCGCGAGAAACGGCGCGGGCAGCGGGGGCAGGGGTGAGGCGCGGGGCCGCCCGCGTGCACCTGCGCGTGCCGGGCCAGGTCGGCCAGGCGCTTGAACTCGCGCTGGCAGCGC